GCGAATATCGGTGAATTTAATTTCCTAAAAGAACGTTTTGCGGATACCAGAGTAAGACTCATTGGTGTATACCGAGGTAGCCTAATCGGTTCTGCTTATAGGTTTTATTAAGATATTTACGATTACAAACGATTATTACGTCGTTATTGTTAAAATAACACGTAAGGCGGCAATATGTTGGCTAGACTGAGTGTTTACCCGTGTGATATATGGGGGTCACATAAGTTAAAGGAATTCGCTAGACTGTTGGAGTATACGAGACTTAATCCGCAACGCACAAGGTTAGATTTAAGAAGTATAGCATTGGTAAAATAAGTATTTTACGACTATATACACAATGGTTTTATCAGCTAGGAGTATGAAATCAAAGTTAGAAAGTACTAATTTATTAGAAATTGGTGAGGTTGTCCGGAATATTATGGTTGACAATTTCCTGGATCCGTGACTGCGATCACAGCACTTGTATTACTAAATAGAATTATATAGCCCCCATCTTTGGCCCATATTGGATTTCTTTGGACGATATACAAAATGTTTCACCAAAGAGACTAAGTATTCCATGGGAGGTAACTTTTACTTGTAAGAGACACTTCAATATGTTTACAATATATACCACTATCAATATAATTGATACTCGTTGATAGAAATAGAAATAACACACAGTTTTCCCACTTCACACATCAAATAAGGTTATCTTTATTCAGCACGTTATTTGTTCTATTATAACGTTCGTGAATTTTGTGTAATTTTTGTATTGTTCTTCCTGAAATAAGAAAGAGTTTTCTAATTTGTATCATAACGATCGCGACTCGATCTATATCACCCAAATAATTGACACAAGTCATTCTGAAACCACGCAGAATGATATGATCCGTAATGTTGATACATGAGCTATAAGTAAAACAATGCTACGTACACTCCAAACTTGGTTTTAAAAGAAGTACACGCATTTATTTTGTTAAAAGGGAAAACATTGATTTCCGCTTGGTGGAAAACTATAATAGTTATCTAATATAGGCCATTGCCAATTTTATTGGCTTTCTTTTGAAATCGTGAATTTAAGTGAAAAAGTACGTCATGTGCCTCTTTGACCTTATCTTATATGAATCATGTTTTTCTATGTACTTTGACTCTTAATGGAGTATTGCATCTATAAGAAAATGATCACTGAATCACAAAACTAAATATCTAACTTATTACGGAGGGGTCAAAGGTCTAAATCTTGTATTACTATTTTGTGAGTGGGAAATAATAGCATACCAGAATATAAAATTATACTTTCATCGCTAGTCAAAATTTCTTCGGCTATACAACAATTTCGGAATTTACGTAAATGGAGGTTGATCTAATGTTTCCAATCAATCATGGATGTGTTGTTTTACCGGCTTTTTCTCCAGCTGGCGAAGCTTAAGTGAAATACCACTACCCCTCGCAAAAATTGAGTTCTACCCTCACATATTTTAAGCTTTATCGTGCAAATGAAATTCGAAAAATATTTAAATCGATAATTCAACATTTGGATTAGTTTTGAAAGTTGATTATCCAAAACTGAACATTAATTTATAATTGTATGTAAAATAAATTAATAAATTTTTCCGTAAGTATGTGTATGTATGATCTATGAATATTTCCCGTCAATTAAATGAGCATGAAATTCATTGTGATGTTAAAACATCTGCCTCCAAACCCGCTCTTTACTATCATTGTGATGATGGAAATCATAAACACAGTGTGCACAATTTTCCATTTGCCCTAATAACATGATAAATTTGAGTGTCTATGGTGAGGCAATAAAGAGAGGTCAATTGATCAAACTAAATTGCAAAACTGAAGTATCTATTTTGAAATGCCGGAGAATCAGGCGTTCGAGAACGCAAAACAAAATTTAAGCCAATTAACAAATATTCAAGGGGTATGGTAATATAACTGTGTTTGATACGCATAATTGCGCCAAATTTTACCAATCACAATGATCTACACATTCGAAGGCTCTAAAATGATACATTTATTAATGTATTGGATTCCGAATTGAATGTTTCTCACAAAAGGGACATCAGAAAGTAAGGTTCTGGACTCATATTTAGTTTCTCAGGCTACTTTACATATCTCATTCTCATGCTATTTCTGTTAGCCTGCAGTCTTAGAGCAAATATTGAACTATTCATTTTAAATCACAGACCATACATATGACATGTACATTTTATACAGAATGGAATAAAAGATACATAAACAGTCGTTTTGATTCTGTAATATTTGATAACTTTTTCAAATATTTATACATTTTTATGCTTATCTATTTGTTTGAACTAAAAAATTGACTTTTTTGCCGCAAAAGAAGAACTGAAAGTTTGTTGGCTGTAATTCTGATCCTAAATGAACCTAAATGTTATTTGAATCATAATTACCATACCCGTTTCATTCATCATCGTAAATAGTATGCTGAGTCAATAATCATAGAGAATAAGGTTAATGTCAGTGGGCTAATTGTGGAGGTCCTGTAACTTGACAGTAATGACTAAAATATTTTTTGGGCTATCGAGGGTGAGAATTGAGATAAGAACACCACATATGCTGTATACTGTAAATAGGAATGTTTTTGGGGTGCGATAATCAGACGTTTGGGAATGGAAAAATTAAGTTGTTTTTAACTTGGGCCCCCGATGGGGTACGTATCCGCGGTCAGGTGGAGATCATTATGGGCGGACCTGCAGGAGATACCACCGGCCCCTCGATGAAATTGCTATTTTGGGGTTATAGTCCAGCGAATGAAATCGAAAAGTGTATTACAGTACATACCCCTTGAACAGTCAAAACACAAAATATCACGATGAATAATATTACTGATTAGTAATTCACGATTTCATTGGATCTGTGTTCCGCATCACAACTTGGTGTGTTATTTATATCGGTATTTTTTGGAATACACATCAATTAGAAATCTTAAAGACAACATATAAGTTGAAACTACAAAAATGCGCTCATCCATGTATTAAAGTAGTTCATAGAAAAGTTCATTTCAAAATTTTAGTTCTCATAGAAACCAATGTTACAATGGTATGTAAAACAATATCTTACTTTTCAACCTAGTTAAAAAATCAACATTTGTCCATTTATTAGTATAAAACTAATACATGGATTTAATATTACCAGACTATGAACTTATTTAATGTAATCAACATGTGTATACTCTATATTCGAAGTTAAGCATATTTAGAAAAGAATGACACAGAAAAATATTAACATTTTTCAAAAGGTTTTTAGTGCCACGATGATGTCACTTAGGTTGCAAACTATTTTAATATGCTACATTACAGTGGCACATGAAATACAACATTTTATTATTGAAATATTGTATCCTAATACCAAGGTAAGAGAGTGATCTTGATTATGAAAGTTCTTAGATTTTGACAAAAGTGCCCCATATCTATCTGAAATAACCTCTTCGCTTCAGAACTTTATTCAGAAAATTAGGGTTGTAAACTTAAGGAAACATAGATAAAATATTAATTCTGTAAAAAATATTAATTCTATATTTTACACTTTCTGCACTGCCTGAACCCCCTAACTTGCTCAAAGTTTTGCTTTGAAGAGTGGAATTAGAATCAGGCATGCTATTAAAATAACGTGAGTCTCAGGAACAACATATACGAATATTGGTTGTTTATATATAGAGGTACCCTATGTATATAAATGAAATTATATAACCACATTTGCACGCACTTGAGATACTAAATAGAGATTAAACGATGGGCGAATGATGGAAATGACGCAAGAAAGATTTACAATATATATTACTGCATTCCAATAATGCCTATAAAGACCATTAACCCCTTACCAATCCCTTAAACGCATAGATTCACTTTGAAGAATAAATTGAAATTCAAAGACATGAAAATAGCAAGTAAAACTCCGACTAAATCGGACACATTCGAGACATAGAGTAAGTTGAACGATAGATGCATGATGGATATTACTCAAAAACGTAATTTTAAAATAGTATCACCGCCTCTAAAGGAATCACGATTATGCTAGATTTTAATATTGTCCACTGGTTAAATGCAAAATGATTTGCCTGGAGATTCTGTCTTGATGGCCTCTACAAATCCCGTCGTTATATTGCCCAACTCATGTGCTCCGAGTCTCCATTTGCACATCTCATATGTAGGAGCAAGACAATGCTGTTTGAAAAAAGGATGCCCAGTGGCGATTATTATAGAACACAAACAAGACTGACGAATCAGAGGATCAAGAAAGTCCCCGTAGAGGACCAACAATTTCTTACTCTGTTATTGCCGCTGTTAATTTGTTTGCCAATCATTTCTTTATTGTTGCATTTACCCAAGAGGAAGTGAATATTGATTTTTCTTGGTGGGATTACATAGAACATCTCAAATTGTAGCATAGCTTAACATGCACATGGCGATCATACTGAACATCCAGCACTTTCTTTTATTTAGCAATCTGTGTGCATAACTGGAAAATTCATTTTGTATCCATGGAAACTGTAATGATACATGATAACGGAGCAATGCAAGTTTGATGTATCTTTTTGCAGTAATGCTACTCTGAAGTTGAGCTATTGCAAAGTAAGATTGAGAGGAAGACTCCGTTCAATCCATGTTAGAGAACTGCATCAAATGCATTTAATTTCCATTTATGTATATTGTTTGTGAGAGTGAGCTGTACCTGTATCATTACTATGGAAACCACCTGTCATAAAATGTATCACTATGCAACGATTAAACAAGTTATTCGTGATCATTTCATGTCAACTTCTAGTTTTAACTTCTGGTCCATTCTGATACTCATAACATCTTTCTGTTTCACCTGAAACATGCATCTGAGGGCTGAGAAGAAATGGTTTGTCATGGTTGATCATGATGCTTCTGGTCTATTTTTCAAATTTTAAGCAAAATTGATAATCTAATTGGCTAAACAGATGTTGATGAAAATGAAAATGAAAACATGCATATCCTGCCAGGCCTCGACTATTTCAACAATAGATCCGTTTAATTAACAAGGTCGGAGACCCCTACGCAGATGTGAATAACATAATATGTATATTACACAAACATTTATATTTTTGTAAAATCTGTATTCTTTGGCAAAACTGCCATCTAAACAAGATTTCGAGCATCCTAAAAATTTGAAATATGTAAGCTTCCGGCTCTCCATAAATTTATTACTACAAAAACACGTATGTTACACTTTGATTCATTTGGTAGAAATAGAAAGCACCTTGCATAAAGCCAGACTCGAGCTAACACAGAGTGTCTTCTTCAGTTGTTGTTCAAGTAAATTCCGATGAATGAGAAACCAGTATAACATTATCTATCGCATTGATAGAAATTACAATGAAAATCAATCCACAGTCATGCTTAAACACTTTAACTTCCCTCACAGAAAATAACAAACGACATTATTTAGATCAAAATTATTCACTGCACGTATTATACCATTTCATGGTAGTACTGGGTACTAGTAATTTAGAACCTCGTACTAGGATTTGTATCTTTAGTCTTAATGATCGTCTAATATACACCGCATTTTTAATTATAATGCACGTTCGGTTCAAGTAATTTCATACATAAATAGCTTATAACAAAGCCATTAATGTCGTTATGAATGCAACAAGCACGCTCTTCCCAAGAGGCCCTTGTGTTGGCACACCGCTCCTTATTGGTGGGCACGTGGCTGGCGGTGGGGACGTTGGCGGATTGGGTAATTCATCTGAATTAAGGTCCTTGATAAATGTAGGAGGCGAATCTGGGTCTATTGGTACTGCCAATGAAATTATATTATCTGTAGTGCTATTCGCAGAGAAATAAATAGCAATTTCATCTACGAATCTCATATTATTTTGGCCCCGTCCAACCAGTACATCTCGTTGCCCTGATTGAAAAAGAAGAATGTCTCCAATTGTTCCATAAGTGCCATGAATTGCTTCGCCAATATCTGTGATATTTACAAGTTTAAGTTCCATCTGCCCCTGAGCGTAACTCCCGTAGCTTCCGGCATATTCCTTCAGAGGCCTCATGCTGCCCTTTTTAGTAGTTATTGGCCGTGGAAACGTCGCACCAAATTGAGCTAAATCGGAGGGTTCTTGCGGTTCTTGTTCACTTAGTACCCCAGTGGGGCATATATTTGATTCGTCCCACCACGGAGAGAGGCCCAAAAGGATATCAGTTATAAACATGTGTATTGGGGAGTGGACTGAACTCGCCCCTCCTTGAAAGTTATTGTTCGAGGTACTGATGCTAATGTTGAGATCAGGGAACACCATCAAGTGACTGGTAAACCCAAACTTGAACCCGGCGTGGAAATATAGCCTATAACCTGAAAGATTGGAAAAACAAACTTGAAAATAAGACGGATAGGATACAGATTGCCACAAAGCACATTGCAACCCAATAAACGGCAAAATAAAAAGGTAAAAAGTGCACAACACATTCAACATGTGTGTTAAAATAATTCATTTGTTGGAAATCCATTTTTAATTCTATCATCTCTTAACAATCGTGATGTTGTTTAGATTTCTATTTTTCAGAGATGTTTTGATCCATGAATTGGATTTATGGGTGGGTGTAGTAATGATACTGTGTCTAAAAATAGGAAGTCGAGACTATTGAGTCATTGACCCATCTCATTGTGATACTCAAAGCAGATAGCATCTTTCTGTTTCACCTGAAACATGATCTCAGGGTTGAGAAGATTTGAGATGTCATGGTTTATCATGATGGACCCCTCTATAATTAAGAAAGGGCATAGTATACCCCTGTAATATCCTGTATACAGTCCTAAACCATAGTTGTCCCTGCTCTTGGTAACAGGATCGAATGGTCGAAGGGCGGGGTATTGTCTGTTTGGGGAATTATGTACAGGGATCCAGTCCTTGACCAGCTCATTGAAGACGCTGTCTTGCAGAAGTGCTTGACCGGCTGGATTTTTACCCCTAGCTAGTAGAAATTGTTGCCATTTCGCCATATCTTCCGAGTGGAGACAAACTGCACCAGCGGGTGCTGTAATATCACCAGCGGGTCTTAAAGACAAAAGTTAAATAATTATTTCTATTTTCAACATATTTTGAATGATTTTGCATAACTAGATCGTAATTTGAATTTTCACGAAGTATTTTATTGTATCACATAAAACAACTGTTTTGTTTCTTGTTTTCAGTTTTTACTAAAATAGAATTAAATTGAAATTATGAAAATATCAGAGTCTATGAAGGGAGACCGATATTCGGGGAAATAACCTTTGAATTGCTATGTTTAACTTAGCTAGATCAACTAAGACCTTATTCCATATATCAAAAGTCAGTGAAATACAGTTAGAGCAAGTGTGAGCTGGATAATCTGTATTTCATACCCTGCGTGCAGAGTCTAGTTAAACTACAAGACGAAGCTCTCTTTTAAGAAGTGAAGTCAAACGAATGCAAATGGTATGTATTTCACGAGTCGTAATCTTTGTAGTATGTATGTATGCACCTAGGGCAATATTTTGATTGAAAACTTTTTTATTTAACTAATGCTGTAGTATTATTCATACACTCCAAAGTACCCAAATATTTATCTAGTCAGTTTGAGGACTTGTTTTTATACGTCATATTACTGCATGCGCAATTAAAATCAATTGATTAATGCATACACTATGTTGATTAATGAGGACAATTATGGTTAGTAAATTATTGGAACCATTTGTTGGTTCGCAGCAAATTGCTAGACAACCAATAAATCATTGAAAATATAAGTCGATTGTAAATATGTTTATTTTATACGGCATACAATGTTCACGACTTCGTATTTATCAGTGTTCTTTTTTACTGTCTGTGATCATTTGGTTTGTTAGAAATATCTAATTTACGTTGTGTTTTTTTCATTATAAACCTGCAACGGATGTGTTCCATTGACTACATACATATATCGTATTCCATGCAGCGCCAAAGGAAGCCATTCAAATGTTATTTCATTATATACTAAGCCTAAACTAGTTCTTATTAAAATCTTAATTAAAAAGACAATAATTTCAATATAAATATAGCATAGCAAATGACAGACCCCAAAAAATCATTTAAAAACGACATGACTGTTGACCCATCTCGAAGTTGACTGTTGAAATAGCATGGCTATATCATTAGCCGAAAGCGCGAGATTATAACAGTCTAATAACATTGAAAATTATTGTTCACTTGTAAAAATAATATAACTTCCTAGTGAGAATGATATGGTATTTCATTGTGAATATGATTGTTACCATATTGTGAAAATGATGCCACCATATTGTGAAAATGATGTTACCGCATTATGTTAGGGAAAGATTTTACCTCATGAAAATGATGTTACCTCTTTATGAGAATTATGTCATGTCACCTCATTGTGAAAAAACCGTTACCTCATTCTAGAAATTATGTTACCTCATTGTTCTAAGGGTATTACCTCAATACTTCCATGCTTTGTTCCGCAGTTATATTCCCCAACATGAAGTACGGTTGGGCAAAATCACGCTTCCAGCGTGCAGGATCACGTGACAAAAATGTTGCATCGCCCATACCTGAAAATGTTGTTTTTTGTCAGAAAGTTAGCTAGTGTTCAACAATGAGAATAAACATTTGAAGAATAAAATAATACAAACTTCAAGCGTGAAAATACATAAAAAATACTTGAACAGTTCATTGCATGAACCTCAATTGAATAGGCCGTTAACTATGGAGATGGAAATAAAAATTCGAAAAATGTACATATTGGATCAAACTGCGAATATAAAATACGAACCTAAAGGTTTGAATAAATTATCTATAACGATATCTTCGTATGATTTTCCGCCTCCATGCAGTTTCTCGGCCACCTTTCCGGCCACGGCATACATAATATTATTATACTGAAACTCCTCGCGGAATTCCCGGATAGGTTGCACAAATCTCATCCTCCTAGAAAAGAAACGTTATGGACTGACTTAAATGCAGAAATTGAGTTTGCAAAGTGATCTTCACGCAGTAATGAACACTTTTTTATTGAACCATCTTGCTCAACCAAGGATCAAACTTTAACAGTATGACAATGAGCAGAAAGTGGCGTAACATTGAGATTTTTTAGGACGGGGAGTGGTGACTGAAGAGAAAATTGAAGAAAGGATTAATTTCCTATACCATTTTTTGGTCCAAAATTTCTTCACTATTCTCTTAATAATGGCTGTGTTAAAGAAAGTATATGATGGAATGTTCGAAAAAATCTTTTCAAAAAATGAATTGTCGAATTAGGATATTTGTTTATTGAACATTAGATGCAGAAATGATGTGAACCAAGACGCAATATACACTGTATGTGATAACATTATCGTTTCGAAACTCACTCTATTACTCATCTTTAATCCTTGTACTTTCTAATACTATAGGATAAAGAAGAGTAGTATTATATATGCAAATGAGACATCGCGCAAGCACAAAAGTACATAGCTGATATGTTTATTTACAATAGACCTACCTAAACAGTTCTGTCTTGTTGTATCCACCCATCATAAAAGGCAGTCCTGCCCGACCCATTCCAGTTCTGTGGGATAGGAGGTCCCCGATTGTTATTTTGCCCTCGCGGTCTTTATCCGCCAGTTGGAACTCATCACCCAGGATGTCCTTAACTTTACTCTTAAAAGAAGGCCTGTAACATAAATGTCCCCAATTTTCCAACCTTCAAAAGTTAAAGTGGTACTATGCGGCAAGTGCATTTACAGAAGGCTTACTTGAAGAAAATGGTTATTTATTGATAATTGGGACAAAACAATATAGATCAGACATGTGACTAGCGTGATTGAAGGGCGGGAACATTTTGGTAGGTATGAGTTACTTTTCGACCGTACTTTGCGACATACTTTGCTAGGCAATAATCAATAGTGGTGTGATCCTACTGTATGATATATAGAATATTACTACCCAATAGTCCGAAAAATAATATAATTTACTCAAGAATACGAAACAAAAATAATTTAATCTGACCATATTGGTAAGCACTACTGAAATAGAACAGTTGGTAAGAAGCTGTTTTACACTCACCCTTTTGGTTCATTTGAATTCATCAATGTACCGAGTGCAGCTGCAGTGATATGTTTACTCACTGATGCTATACAAAATACAGTCTTATTAGTGGCTTGTGTCCTTTGAGCCACATTCGCCCAGCCATATCCTTTCACCATAATCGGCTGTTCATTTTGAACAACGGATAACGATAGACCAGGAACATTCCTACAGCTCATAGCTTTCTGCACATACGAATCAATTCTTGAAAGCTGTGCAGGTGTCAGCGATGATGTAACCATCTGGAAAAACGTCAACAATAGTGTTGTATAGAACACTTTTAACAAAACTCGCGCGATCATTTTAGAGCATGTATCATATATCAAAGTTCCTTAAATAATGCTAAATCAAAAATTATTGCAATATATAGGCCTTTATCCGTAATCTCAAATGGACTCAGTTTAAACCACGTGTGAATTACTAATACAAATTTATCTACTTTTTGAAAATAGTTCAATCTTCTCATTTTCGATTCCAAAGTCCAAGCGTGCGAGGCACCATCAAACGCTGACTGAGATAAAAACAAATCATCAATCAAACTTGATTCATAAAACTTCATTTTAGTTTAAGTGAAATAAGTATATTATGTAAATTATCACCTATGTGATAGGATATAAAGCATTTGAGTCGTGGCTTACACTTGTGATGAGTCAAAGACGGGTGGAGTTGATTTAGATAGCTTTTGATGATACATATACATATGATGATACATACACTCCCCTCCATAAGTTTGGCAACCTTTTTCCCCCATTGAACTACGTGTTAAAGCCTCTTTACGTTTGAATTTTTATTTACTTAACCGGCGATAAAATAACTTATGATATTGATGGAAACGTAACTTGACTTTATTTCCAATACCTCCAAATTTTCTCAATTTTTTTCCTCTCTAACAATAGGTCGAAAATTGATGATAAATTTGATGAATTTTTGAAAATCGTCATTCCCATGTAATCCAATGGGAAATAGAGGGTTCGGGGCAAATCAGAAATCAGGATATCTTTTCAGTAAAAGACTCAGCAAAAAATATTTTTATATAGAAATCGAATTGTCTAACTTTTTTGAACACTAAGTGTTTAGTTTATTTGATGAATATTAAAGTTACAGCACTTCAAAGTCATTTTTGAAAATAATTTTTCGCCTCCTGTGTTATTTCAATGGGAGAAGTTTTTTGAAAAACAATTTTGACTTTAAAGCCCTATACCTTTGTTGAACCTGAAGAAACATATCAATTTTTTGTTAAATAAAGTTAGCAAATTCAATTGCCTGCCTAACTCGTATTTTTTGCAAGAACTCGGATGGATGGATATTCTGTCATATGACTTGCGGCAAACCTACCATTTCCAATTGGTTAACATGGGAATGTCGATTTTCAAAAATTCATCAAATTTATCATCAATTTTCGACCTATTGTAATTGAGGAAAATTATTGAGAAAATTTGGAGGTATTGAAATTAAAGTCAAATTACGTTTCCATCAATCGTGTTTAGTATTTTCATCGCAGGTTAAGTCAATAAAATTTCAAAGATAAAGAGGCTTTAACACGTAGTTCAATGGGAGAAAAAAGGTTGCCAAACTTATGGAGGGGAGTGTATGTGTATAGTCCTATCACAAAGGTTGGAGGCCCGAATTCGCCACCGGGATTTTATCCAGCAAAAATATATTCTCCCGATCGACAACCATCTCCATGGTATTATACAGGGCGTTCAATAAGTATTGCTAATTTTGCTCTATCTTTTGTTGTGTTTGCTTTTTCTTCATGAAACTTCCACAACACAAAGAACATATATCTGACTTCATTCTCTGAGAATTTTCATTTCTAGTATTAATAACAAAGTTATGGGTACTAAGGTAACCAGTGTCATAGATACGCAGGGCAAAGTTCTAACGTCACTTTGGACGACATTTTGAGTCAGTTGAAAGCAGTATCATAAAATACTTTTTAACTCTTGGGATATGCAGTGCAGTTACAAATAATCCATTCCAGAGTCACTTCATGATCCATATTCACTTCATGAGGTGCTCAAAATAAGCACCCTTAGCGTCAATGCACACAGTTGCTGTCTGGCGACCCACTCGTGGTACATATTTTTGAAGCCACCCTTGAGGTGTGTGCTAGGGAGATGTTCACTGCAGACATCATCTGATTGAGATTCTGGTGCGATATTCCTCTCAGATCTCTTTTTACTGTTGTTAATAATACATATAATTCAAACTGACAACATCAAGATTTGACCATATCAACAGTTTTTTATTTTCATTTTTTTTTATTTTATTTAAGTTTTTATTTGATGTATAATAATAATTTGTCATGAAAACCCTTGATGTTGCCCCGCGCACCCGTGACAATGGTTACCATAGTAACCATAACTTTGTCAATATTAAGTCGGGTTTCCAGAATTTTGAAAGGATAAGGTCAGATATGTGTTTCTTATGTTGTGAAAGTTTCATGAAGAAAAAGGTAAGATAACAAAAGTTATAACAAAATTAGCAATACTTATTGAACGTCCTGTACAAGTCTTTCTTTGCCTTAAAGTGTGCGCCTGACCCGGCTACGTATAGCACAGAGTTTATACTGGCGGATAAGACTAGTTCATTTTTTATGTGTGTGAAAGCTTTCTCTTATTTGCGTTTTTTCGTTTAGTACGGTTCTGTTATAATTGCCGAGGTCATATAACCGGGATAAAACAATGATTATCGTTGACTGCCCACACACAAAACATACGTTGAGTGAACAGTGTTATTACAAACAACAGGCTTTAGAATACAAAGCGTAGTGTGATAATAAGCTGTACACTACCACTGCTGCATGTACATATTACTAATTTACTAGGGCTCCCAAAGAGTGGATAGGGAGGTTGTGTTTGTCACTTTTAAATTTTACATTTCAAAATTGTCATTTTACATGTCATAATTTGTTGGTTTCATTCGTTTAGCCAATCAAAACATTGTAAAACAATAAATTGTCTGTTACGTACAATCAATTTTGTTCAGTTTTGATTAGTTGTCAGAATAAAGTTACGTTCATCTGAATCCATGTATCAAAACAAAAATCCTATTTTCACTTCAAAATACTTCAGTGAGATGAAGGCTCGGAATTGTCACATGCAATAACTTATTGTCGTATTCGTTATTTTATCTTCTCGATAGTAGCATTTAGTCGCACATTTGATGCCAGGTCATCTTGTCGCGTACCTCTTGGGGAACCCCACATTTATGTGTGTACTCATGGAAGTAAATTCCCCGGTGTAGCCGAGAGCCACAAACTTTTCAACAGGTTCGAAATGACCAATTTCTCTCATATATACTCTAAATATTTCATTATTTAGCACCTACAAAGTATTGCTAATAACCATATGTAATTTCAATAAGGAAACTTATCTGGCTACATGTAAATTCAATATCAACACTAGCTGTTCTCTCAACACGTCCTGGCTTACCTTGTGGTGACAAACCCTGGATTTTCGCTATTTATAGTTTATCAACACCTGGACGCATGCGCATTTTATAGTTTATCGGGCACTTTAAACTATCCCTATGCTATTAATATTCCCATATAAGTCTTTCTTAAACTATCCCTATGCTATTCCTATATAAGTCTTTCTTTGCCTTAAACTATCCCTGTGCTATTCCTATATAAGTCTTTCTTTGCCTTGTTATACGTAATTTACATTAATGTTTTAAGAGGCCTCTGGTAATGAACACTTATTGGCAATATTCATTATACGGATGAGTTCAATGTCTTGCAGTACTACTAACTGTTTCAGCTATCACAGTTGTTGATATTAAATTTGTGAAATAATTTGACTTCATTTCCTTTAAGAAAATCGATAGCAGAATGACAAACCAATCCGCTTAGGTGTCTCTTAGTACCAGAATATAGTTCGTGAATCGTGAGATGTGCATTTACAAAGGATAAGAACGGAAAGCGTAACTTTTTAGAAGTAATGAATTCACTAGTCAGTATCAAGCGAAGGTAACAGCCGTCACCTTCGCATCAAAGATGGCGAACGGGAAGTGTCGATTTCAATATATTTAGTTTTCATCGAATTAAACTACTTTTTAGTTGACGTAATGCTTTGATATTTGAACAAAATCCGACTAATATGACATGGAAATTCTGGGTTATGATCATTTAATCATATATTATGCGGGGGCGCCACAGTTTAACGATACCTTGCACCGCTTAAGGGAAGGTAACATGGGATTTTGGTTTTACAGATGATTAGATAACTGATATGCGGTGATGCGGTAACGTTATGAGAGTTTATAATGGAGAGCTCTAAGATTTCCAGTTACCGTGCATTGAAAACTAACACAACCGCTACCGTATCTTACATTTCCAGTTACCTTCCCTTAAGCGGTGGAAGATATCGTTGAACTGTGGCGCCGACGGATGATATGTGAACAAATTATCATATTCCATAGTTTCCATGGCATATAAGCCTGATTTGGTTCAAATATCAAAGCATTGCGTCAACTATAAAGTAGTTTAATTTGATGAAATTTAAAAATATCGAAAACGACACTTCCCGTCCGCCATCTTTGATGCGAAGGCGACAGCCGTTACCTTCGCTTGATACTGACCAGTAGAATTCAGATAGCACTTTAAACATAAATTCATCGACTTTTTACTAGTCTAGATTCGACGTTTCATAAGATAGATATAAAAGTACAATATATGCATATCTTTCGATATGTATCATGCATATCTCGTTTGACCTTTATATGACAGTTATAAAAGTATGTATTAATTGTTTTCACCAAGTATTTGGTATATCAGTTCCGGTTTTCTTGGATTTGAATCAGTTCATCTAATCCTCCTAATTGGTCTCAATACCCTCGAGTCCGTAGCCTTGTTTGCCAGGGGACAAATTTAGCGTGAATATGGATATCTTTTGCCCACCTTGTATTTGGTTCTGTCCAATTTTGCCCCCTCGATTGATTTTAAAGTGACCCCATTTCAATTCATGTCATTCTTCATCTGTAATTTCAAATAAGGGTAATAGATAAGTGAGGGCCATTTAGATGGGGAATCATAATCCCCGGGGACTACCATTTATTTTACTGGCATTAAATTGGTCTCCAGGATTACCAAGTTACTCTTTCCAATAGCTTAATTTTGCCTCTTTAAAAGAGAGTTTCATGTACATAATTCGGAAAACTCTAACCCCAGGGGTGGTTTAGTCAAGATTATTCTTTTCAAATGTGACTGAACGCGCGACATCGCGGATTTCAAGTCGCTGCGTTAAAAGGTACGTCTCTCTTTACCCTTTGCATTCGTTTGACTTCATTTCTTAAAAGAGAGCTTCGTCTTCGTAGTTTAACTAGACTCTGCACGCAGGGTAGTCTCTCTTGCTCTCTTCGTGGACATATTCTCTCATATTCGGTCATATCTCAACACAACCGACGATGGAGTGCAGCATTCCCAGGGATGAACGATGGTTAAATTGAACCAAAAGTAGGATAATTATCATTATCCAATTAACTTTACTGCCGTGTTCACCTGTCGAATATTCCTCTAATCCGATCTCATATTTTTCCACAGTTTAATGAAGACGGGTAGTGTATCAAAGTTATATCAATCTATGTTCAGTTACGAGCAGATAACCGCAGACGTGGTTATCTATACAGAGAACCCGTAGAACTGAAAATGACGAGCAGAGAGAGTTATATATCTCTTGGCATTGACTGCAATCGCCAACTTTCGATTTTTGGAAGTTGCTCTAATTTGTATCATTACCATTGTGGGATCCACAGCTTGTAATATCCCTTGAAATACACACAGGCTTCCCTCTCAAGCATCGGATAAGCGCCTCTGATAAATCAGAATGCCATTTCCCGTTTTTATATAGTATTACGAATGAATTATACATGATAAAAGGTGCATTTTCAATATTTCCCTTGTGTTTTCTTTGACAATGCTTTACTCCAAAGGAACATGATATCATTTTAGACGACAGGCAAGAAGCGTAGCAATCGTAATTAAAATATTAATCAAAATAACAACTTAGCAATAATATCAAAATAATTTTTAATCACAAATTAATGTGCAAATCAACACGCCATCGGGTATTTCATTTCTTCATTAGGTAATATTACAAATTACCAACTTCCCTTCAATTTCTACCCTCTTTACACTCATTTAAATATAATTACAAAAAAACATTAATAAATAGTTATTGAGCTATAAGCTGTAAGCATGTAATGTTGTTTTTCCAAATTTTGTTGTATCCCTAATGTTTATAATTTCACTTTTTTAATTTATCTGCGTGCAGGCATTAATTGTATATTTTCATATATTATATTATATACAGCCAAACCTCCTATACAGCCAAATCTCCTATGATACAGCCAAACCTCCTATACAGCCAAACCTCCTCCGATACAGCCGACCCTCCTATACAGCCAAACCTCCTATACATACAGCCAAACCTCCTATACAGCTAGCTCCCTCTGGAGGAAAGTTGGACAAGTCGATAGAGATCGAGGGAAGGGATCTAAAACTAAATTAATCAAACTTTTAAAAAGTTAACAATAAGAATTTAGGACTGAATTTATGTGCTTGAAATCGTTTGTGTAAAGATATGAGACTGAGACTAATACAAAGATAAATGCAGTAATATCCATGAATCAAAATTTTAATTACTACTCACAAAGCAAATAAATCAAGGAGATTAAAAACCAGTCTTTTGTTTGTTCTTTTATGAGGATGTTGACTTCCCAGTAGAGTTAATTATCGCTATACACTTCATTTCACGTGTCATCAAATATTTCCATTAAAATCCCACTGGCTCGTGTTCGTGAAGATTCAAAACAGAGAGGAAAAGCCTGAAATGGCCGGGGATTTACATACACAGGCATATAGTCGGTATGTTATAAAATGTAAAGAAAAAACAGAAAATCGTATCCTTTATTCAAATTTTAGAGAGAAAAAGAGTGGAAAAAACGTAGTTGGTGTGAGGAGCGTGTCAAGTACTATAATGGAATCATGCAATTGTTGGAATCTGTTGGGAGTAAATCCGGGAATAGACTATTGATCCCGTATATAATGTGGGATCTGGGTGACTTTCCAATTAAAAATAAAATTAGGCTAAATAGAATTATTGATGGTGATGGCTGAAAATGGCGAATTAACCGAAATGGC